CAAGCAGCAAACGCTTGCTTCTGCGCGTTACAAACGTTTTGACAAAAAAAAATTAAAATTGAATACACGTAGGCATGCGTGGGCAACTATTCCCATTTTTGTATAAATACAGCAGAGCCGCTCCTAAAATATACGTTAAAATTCTGCTACGTTTATTTGCTGAAATTTTCCAGTAATCAGCCAAAAACCAATTTTTTTCGTTTTTGACAACAGAGGCGTTCTCAGCTTATTCAGTGGTAGGTGGCTGATGTATGCTTCGTCCGGTTTAGCCCATTTTCTAAGCCAACGTGTGTGCAAAAGCTTCCAATATTTGTGCCGAATTTGAAGTGGATAGCCTCCTTTATACAGATAGGGAAATGTTTACAACAGACATTTTACAGGCGGACAGATGGGTGCGCTTAAAACGATTCAAAATTTGCTGTTGATAATATATATACGTATATATATACAGACATGGGTTCTCGGAAGGTTCTTTCTGGATATTGCAAACGTTTTGACAACATAAATATACCCATCAACCTTCGATGAAAGGTGTAAGCAGTTAAATCCTATCAGATTAGAAATTCTATACTATAACTTTGTTTGTGTAAAACGAAAACTAAAAGAATTTCCTTATATTTTACGTGTGAAATATACAATTATTTTATCTGTCCATCTATATTATATGTAACCCACACAGTGATTTCAGTTTCAAGTTCAATTGACGCATTTGTAATTACAGCGCTTATGAAAGCCAAATCCGCAAATAGTTACATGGTGTAAATATTTTACAAAGTGCTTTCGCAATCAAATTATAATAATAAGAGACCATTATCAATATGTACTTGCAGATTATGCAAGACAATTAATCGGACTTGGTCTCTTTCTGATATATATCGGTATCCTGCTGTCTTCAAGCTTCCTAACTTTAGTAAGTTTTTGTTATTTTTGCTAGTTATTAATTCTGCAGCCCTGAGAATTCTCAAAACAACGTACGGACAAAGGAACTAACAAATAATTTGCACGAAAATCAGCTAAGACAAATATAAGCAATTTCACGATTACCCATTTTAGTTATAAATAATATAATAAATAAAATTATTTTCGGGCCTAGATATGTGTATATAAAAGGAAATGTTTAGGTCTCTTTAAGATCCGTTCAGCTTTGACTTCCATTCTTTAAGAGAACACGTTGTTTGATGTGTAAAACTAACTTTATACGTTCCCATATATTTCTTCCTTACATAGATATATATGAATGTAACATATAGAGGACTTTGTTTTGATAAGTCTTCTTGGATACATATATCCGCTTTGCTTCTTTTTCATTCGCCTCTATGGATATATTCCATGCTTTCGCTGCACGAAAATAATTTGGAGTTTTTAAGTAAAAATTTTCAACTTATCAAATGAAAGTGGCACGAAATTGGGCAAAGATATGATTCCAGCTACAATAGTATATTAAGTTTGTGCGGATGTATACAAAACCCAGGAAGACTTAAGTAAAATCCACCTTTTATTATATTAATCCATTCGCAAACTTTTCTCTCTGAATCGACTTAAATTTGTCTATCTGACTGTCTCCCAAGTTTTCCTCTATTCAACCTATAGGTCGCAATTTTTGGAATATTTTTGTGGAATTCGGTGCACAGATGTGTTTTGATCCAAGAACGAACGCTATGACAATGGTTCGGATCGCACCACTTCCCTAATAATGCTTAATTTTTAAAGTTTGCTAAGTGAGTAACTTTAAGACTGTGCAGGGTATCCAATGGCCGTGGCACATTAATAGGGTTTTATTTGTTTTTTCATTACAGATTAAATAAATCTTAAGGGATGATCAACAATTTTTATATGCACCACTGAAGGTTGGGGGTATACTCATTTTTCCATAATGTTTGCAACGCACAGAGGAATGCTTCAGACACTCTATAAGGTGCATACATTCCGCGTCAGCATGAAATTGTGAAGTGATTAAGTCATGTATGTCTGTCCGTATGGCCTGCGTTATTGGCATTCTCCTGGTCGCAAAAATTAAAATATCGACTTAAAATTTGATAGAAGCATTGGAAGCTTCTACTGGTACTGGAGACGGGCCAAATTGGTCGCTGCAGAAACGTTCAATGAAAAGTAAGCTAAACGCTACTCTGTCTTTCTACGCAAAACTTTGTGGTGTTGTATTCATAAGTCACAAGTTACAAAAGAAAGAGGGCTGAAAATGTTCACATTTACTTAACGGAGAGCTCTACTATGTATGTGCACAAATGAAAAAAATTCGTAATGCCCACGACTTGGTAGATTAATTTTCCTTAACAATACCTTTTACTGAAGTAAAAGGTGCGAGATAAATTTTCCAAAAATTTGAAGTATAATGGGTATACGAGACTCGGCCCTGCCGAATATAAATTTCTTACTTGTTTTTATATACCTCGAACCTTGTTTTTTACGTAAAAAAATTTTTTTCTTGGAATTTCGGGATTTTTCCGAACAGGTCCAAAGTTCAAAAAATCTCTGCTAGTAACTAAAAGTCTAATGTCTTACCTCTAACCCTTTAACAGATTCCTTTAACGGAATTATGTTCACCTAAAAACTTTTGCAAACAAGATAATAATGCAGCAGATTAAGTGATTTTGCCCAGATTAAAATTTGAAGTGAATCGCGAGCCGACGAGCTCTTTAAATTAAAAATGCCTCGCGATAATCGCCGAAATTCTTGAAAAATATTTTTTTTTATTGCATAGAAACGCATGATTTCTAGTGTCGGCTCGTTATTATTCTATTACATTTTCTTTCCTCCCAGAAAACCTCAAAAATACGCTTTTGTTAGGTAGTTGCAATGGTATTACCTCTTAAGGGACAGCGAAATCTTAGAGATGGGTTTTCTTATAAACCCAGACTTGTAGTAAGTAAGCAAAATTTTTCAAACTGTAACGATGCCTATCAATTAATTGCAGAAACGGATAGTTACAGATTAGACATATTCAGGATAATAGAAGTTCGAAAGAAGCAGCCATCACGAGGCTTTGCAATGTAGTCCAACGTCTGGCGCAAAAGACGACGTTTGTCAACATTTCACTCAATTTCATTTTCACTCGTCATATTTCAGCGCTATCATAATTCAAACACTTTCACACCTTTATAAGCTGAAAAATATTTATAAAAGATGTATGCACTTTCTCGTTAATAATAATATGCGCTTACATGTGTTTTGATCAGCGTCATGTATTGGTGAAAATGGTAAAGTAATGCGAAATATCAATGTACAGATGAAATTCGATGACTTTGATCCTTTTCTACATAAAATATTACTCCCCCAATTATTATTATTAAGTTATTTAGTGTATGCAGACGATGATCACGGACAAGCCGGAAACTGCATTTGCGAAGTTCATTAGGGCGATAATTCGCCATCATATCCCAATTGTCGGTTTAGCTTTCAAGGGTTTGATGTCGATGACAAACAATGGCTTGGAGGACCAAAAAAGATCGAAGACAATAAATTGCAAGACTTATTGGACCAAATTCTCAAAAAAATTTCCAACAGCTTAGCAATTGATAAATCAACTGTTTCTAGACGTTTGCATGGAATGAGAAAATGGCTGTGATACAAATGGTTGCAAGACAAAAAAAAAAAGAGTTCTTTGTGGCGTGTTGTGACTGACCGTGAAAAGTGGCTCTACTACGTCAATCCTGCGATCAAAAAGATGTCGGTTAATCCAGGAAATACATTAACATCAAGAACGAAGCGGAATATTCTTGGTCATTAAGGTGTGCTGTACATATGGTGGAATCAGTACGATTTACGGGTTTTATTGAGATGCTAAAATCGCGTAAAACTGCTACCGCAATTAAACTAATTCAACAATGCATGTCTTCCATGACAACGCTCGGCCACACGTTGCAAGGGTTGTCAAGAATACAGTGTTGCAATTCGAATGGAACGTCCTGCTGCACCCAGACATAGCGCCTTGTCATTACCACTTATTCAGATCGGTGTAGTAAGGCTTGGTTAACACGTGGTTTCGAAATGTACAAGAAGTCCGAAATCGCTGCCAGACTAATGACGTTCTATCAACACTGTTTCGCCATGTATCGTTACTAGAAATATGGGAAAAAGTTGCACAAAACAATGGAAAATATTTTGATTGGTATATATTGTACTAATTTTTCTCAATAAATGGCTTTTTCAAGCAAAAAAATGATCAAAAAAGAGAATATTAAATTGTTCACAAAAACCTAGTATATAACTATTGAAAGCTTATTTTATTAATACGTAAAAGAGTGTAATCAAGATGCACTCAAGTGTACGGCAGATAACTTGGATACGTATGAGCTTTCATATCCGTGCTTTCATAAAATTTTGATTTTTAAATAATACAACATATAACGCCTAACTTATTGGCTTCGCAACCGTACATAGACCGTCACATGTCCTTTTCTATAAAATCCCACAAAACTTTATGTAAATATTTCTTTAAAAAGATAAACTCCTCTATATCTACAAGCCAATGGCATTCGCCCTGAAAATACAGCACAAAATAAATACGAATTTTCTAAAACGAAGAAGCAAAAAAAATGTTAGCAAACCAAGGACAGTGTACTGCATTCCAAGCATTTTCTCTGTGTTGCTGTTCTATCTGCTATTAAACAAAATAGAACCGAAATAGTTATTATGGTTTAGCCCCTATGGTTTCTGCGGTTCTCCTCTTTCTAAGTGAACTTGACTTTCGGTACATTCCAACAGATTAAGGTTGCTTTTCTAGCTCTTACAAAAGCTCAACAGATAAGGCAGTTTAGCGATATGCATACTGTGTTAAACGGGTTTTCAGACTAAGCTTTCATAAAACTTATTTACCTTCCCTTGTAACCCTAGCAACAGTGCATAGCAACAAGATCCAAACAAATATTTCATTTGCTTAATTTTTAACAAAACAGAAAAGTGGTAATTTTCACTAAGAAAATGGTAAACCATTTCTCAACTTTCTTAAATTTATAAAAACATTAATTTTAAAAAAATTTTAGATTCTCTCACGAGGTAAAAATGATTCCGCGTCTTCACGACACCTGCCTAATTCTAATGCTAGCAAATCTGCTCCGCCTTCCTTAGAGGAATTCATTATGAAACGTGATTATACCGGAGCGAAGGTCTTCTTGGAGTTCACTCTCGACTCTGAAGAACAGGATAAACAAATCATCATTGAGCAGTGGTTGGCTTTCTGTTACTTTCACTTAGGTGATTACCAGCAAGCTCTGGATCAATATCAACATATACAACAATTAGAACCAGCCGTGGAGGATCTTAGCCTTAATAGAGCAGTTTGCATGTTTTACTTGGGCATGTATGAAGACGCTCAAAATTTAATCGAACAAATACCCAACACAGCTTTGAAGCTACGTTTAATGTTTCATTTAGCTCACAAGTTTAATAATGAAGAGGAAGTAATGAACTTATTGGAGACGTTTCAACTTCAAGTAGAGGATCAGCTGAGTGTAGCCTCCATGCATTACTTAAGAGCCCACTATCAGGAATCTGTGGATATTTACAAACGCTTACTACTTGACAATAAGTAAGTAGGAAGTAGTGTAAAACTCCCGTTTAGTAACAATTAACTGCATCCACAACGAGGTTAATATTAAATTCATTGTATGTTTCGAACACAGGCTAGTACCTATCGAAGTCGTAGATCTGTCTCCCTTTGCCTGACTACATGACTTTATGTCTGCTTGTGTGTCTACCTATGCGTTTAGTTTCCAATTTATCAGCCATGTGCCTCTTCGTCGTGTGGGTATTACCTCCCACACTGTTAGTCTGTATGTCCGCAAATCTATCTTCCTATCTGTAAGCTAAACTGTAGATTGTGATCCAAAGCGGCTCGACAATCTATCAGCAACCAAGTGAATACATTTGAGTATAATTTTCCAATTTCCATAGAAATATAGTCATCTATTGACCTAGAGTATCTTCTCAGTCAAGTCACGAATACACAAACAAAGTAACATAATTCATTAGTTACAGACTGAAAACCCATTTAAAACATTAGTTTAAACCGTCCGTAACATCTTAGGCATGATTTTTTTCAGGGACTATACCGCCATTAATGTTTATTTGGCATTGTGTTTTTATAAAATGGATTACTACGACATGGCCCAAGAAGTTTTAGACGTTTATCTAACTAAGTATGCAGACAGCACTATCGCTATTAATCTGAAGGCGTGCAATCGTTTTCGCTTATTTAGCGGTCGCGTAGCTGAGCAAGAAATTAAGAATATCTCGGACAATGGTACATTTGGTGCTGATTTGATACGTCATAACCTGGTAGTATTTCGTAACGGTGAGGGGGCTCTGCAAGTTTTGCCTACGCTACTGAATATTATACCAGAAGCCAGACTAAATTTGGCTATTTACTATCTGAAAAATGGTGAAGTTCAGGAAGCTCATTCTCTTTTGAAAGAAATGCAGCCCACGATACCTCATGAATATATATTGAAAGGAGTTGTACATGCGTCTCTGGGTCAACAATTGAAATCGGTAAACCTTTCTTTTTAACATCTCTTCTGAATACTTTTCAACAAGGTCTATAAACGAATTTTCTAGCAAGAGCATATAAAAACCGCTCAACAAAATTTACATTTAGTGGGCAGCTCAACGGCTGAATGTGATACTATACCAGGACGTCAAGCTATGGCTTCAGCCTTCTTTTTGTATGGGCAATTCGAAGAAGTTTTGGTTTACATGAACTCGATACGTAGCTATTTCGTAAATGATGATATATTCAATTACAATTTTGCTCAAGCGAAATGCGCCACAGGTTGTTATAAAGAAGCCGAAGAGTTGCTAACGCAAATAAATGACATTGATATGAAAAATCAACATACATATTGCATGATCCTAGCGAAGTGTCACATACATTGCGGATGTCCAGAGCTAGTAAGTTAATAGAAAATATTCCGTACTGTTTATAATAATACCGATCTTGCAGGCTTGGAATATTTTTATAACACGTAACTCAAGTTCGGAAGCATTTTTATTATTACAAATGATAGCGAATGAATGTTATAAATGTGGAGAATTCTGGGTGGCCGCCAAAGCCTTCGATATGCTAGAAAAGTAAACCAAATCTTCAAAATAAACTTTAGTCTATATTTTTCTCCTTCCTTCAGATTGGATCCTAGTCCTGAGAATTGGGAAGGTAAACGTGGTGCTTGTGCTGGTGTTTTGTATGGCCTAGTAACCAAATATGAAAAGAGTCGCCCTCACAACGGCATTGCCGATGTTATAGGCCTTTTAAGAGATTCCTCTAATCCTCAGGCTGAATCAATGATTAAAGTTATACGCAAGAACGCTAATTTACTGAAATGAAGTAAGTCACGGACTTTAAATGGTCACCTAAAACCTTAAATGAAATAATGAAATCAGTTCATTATCATTAACGCTTGCAATAACAAGTGTCGGTAACGTAATTGTGTTTAAACATTTAACGATTCCTAAACTAGGAAGTGCCTATTGAGTATGTCGTTTGCACGATAGGTCTTTGAACTGTTATCAACAACTTTAATCTTTTCGGGGAAGATATTCTTGAACCATATAGTTATTATGTTTACATAAAACGCATTATGATCACTACGTTTTTTGAATTCGTCCCTACAAAATTTGTTACTGGGGTATCGAAACCATGACAATACCCAATTAGAAAAAACGTTATGTAATTAGATGAAAAAGTTTGGCAATATCCGGTGTGATTGCACACTGAAGGTAATTTTTATATTAGCTTTGCATCTAATGATCTTCGCAAGAACATATAGTGTAGGTGGATCTTCTAATGATAATAATACGCTCAGTTTTCGAGCCCATATTCTAACAATTACTCAACTGAACAATTAAAATAGCAGTTTATCTTGAGATATCTATGAAATTGAACTAACGGGTTTAAACTCGACGTTGTTGACTTGTTTAAGTTCCATTGCCAACAGAAGCGTGGAAAAATTTATAAAGATCTAGTGATAATTTCCAAGGAAAAACTTAATGAGGCAAGCGTACGGAGATGAATTATGTACATATTTCCAAGACTAAAGTGAGCTTTTTTGCCATAGCAACTGTCAACTGCTTATGTTTAAGTCCACGGACCCCTTACATTTTTAGAAAAAGAGATGGATTATCGATGTTTACGTTTTGATTGACTTGAAAAATTGATGAACAACAAATTGGCAATTTTATGCAATACTTCATGCGTCGGTTTATAGCTATCGACATCGAGTAAATACGATTTGAATATGTTATGCCACAGATTATTTTCTGTACTGTATGAAATTATTTCTCACTTCCATTACAGTTCGACGCAACTACCACGGATTATGTTCTACGAAATTACATGATAGTATATATAGTTTATATTTTATTACCACTGTAATTAAATCAAAAGAAATAATAAATAAAGACATCACTTTTCGATACATGATTAGGAATTCAGTCAGTTACTTGAAATATGTATTTCAAAAAAGAGATTTTTCAAAATAGAAGACTTAAGAGACAACGCTTCAAAATATTATTTATTCAAATTCGCCGAAACGCACAATAGAAAAATTTGTAAATCAAATTTCACACGATCTTCAAAAATGTCGAAAATCGGAACTGAAATAACAAAACCTGAAGTTACTGATTCCTAATTTCGAACATAAGTAATGCCTTTGGTGGTGTAAAGTATCAATCAATTAATCATAAAAATTTCATAAAACTGATGCATACCAAACGCATACTGGGCAAACCAATGGATTATCATAGTCATCTCCATAGGCTCCCGCACCTAAATTGATACAGTTAGAGATTGTATCACGCTTGTAAGCATCGGTAACACACACAATGGCATCGATCTGATCTTAAATCGGCTCAGCAACCAAGAAGAATGCTACCTGCGGCTGCTCACAGGATACGCAACAGCGCGGTACATCGGCGAGCAGCTGCAGTGTCAGGCTTGCGTCGCGAACATAACCCTAAAGTCTAAAGAAGATGCCTCCAAGGAGGTGAGCAGTCGAGTTGTCACCAAGGATCCTATGGCCAACTGGATCGTCACCTCCGAATACCTGCAATCGGGGTTCCCGAAAGCGAAAGTACACAAAGTGTTCCACGAAGCGTACAAAATATTTTACGCATGTATGTTGCAGCGTATGGTGGACGGCAAGATAGGGAAACGCGTGAAGCCATCTGTGGCGGCGCAGATTGACTTTTCCTCACAAGGAGGTTCTTGCGCCAGTACCTACCGCATAAATATATGTGGGTACGCGCTGTTCTAGTTGCTGAAGCGAATAAATTGGAGAGAGACCGAGGACGAAAAAAAATCGGCATACTAAGGTAAATATTAGCTCCTCCGCGCGTCAGCTCCTCTCTCTCCAGCGCACGAAGTCAGTGTTGATATTGATTTGGACATATTCAAAGTAAGTAAGCTTTGAGCAAAAAAAAAAAGGGAAAATCAATAAGAAAACTTGAAATTTTTAGAGGCTTTTTAAAAGCATTTATTTAGAAAAGTTTATCTTTTCACAATGGTTTCTTCTATTTTCAAGATCGTTCCAATTCCCCGGACGGCATGGATAGCTTAGAGTGGGAAGATGAATTCATTGCAGACTCTGATAATGAATCGTTGAACGGCAACGATTAGCATATGGAAGAATTCACTTCATTATATTATTACTGTGCAGTTGTGCAAAATAACATTTCTTTAGCTTCTTCTTTACTTGAGCAATATGCGCGCCGCATTACTCCCCATTACTTGCTACACTATTGCATAGCAAACAATATGCGGACAATGTTACAGCGTTTGTTAGATCGTGACTCATTGAATGGTTTGTTTGTTCGTAATGGAGATGTTTTCGTTTTCTAGAAGGAAAAAAACTATTTATTTATGATTATGAAAAAATTCTCATTTAACAGAACTCCATTAAAATGGAAAATACGAACATTTTACCTGTTTCGAGTATAGGCTTTCCTTCCTTTAAAAAATGAGTCAAGAGGGCACTAACAAGGTAATTATTTATGAAAATGGTATTGTTATTGTTTTCCCTTTACGAAATTTTTATTTTAGAACTCCTCGTCTTCTTACGATGAGCTTACCATAATCCCGGCAGGCTTCGACGTTACTCGTTTAAATACGTATCATTGGCATCGCAAAAAACAATGCGTAGGAACAATGTAAGCAACTTTCCAAGAGAGGAGCAAATTTTATAATTTTCATCAAACATTTTCTCTACTCACCACTTGAATGAAAGCAAATTCTTTGTTTATGGAATGGACTTCAATAACCAAAAAACTGTTCCATTCCAGATAGCTATAATTGGCAATTTTCCAGTTGGATAATATATATGACGACTATATGACTGCCATGAGGTCAGCCCACGAGTCGTAAAGAAAATTATTGATTCACAAAACGATGATATCTTTAGTTGCTTTTAGTGATGAAAGATATTTCAAAGAAATTATATAATTCCGATACCTCATAAATAGGCGTTTCCTGAGAAAGGTTTTTAAATTTATTTGATATACTATTTTGTCAGTTTCATGCACTTACTGCATATATCTCGCAATTTTTATAAATTTTGTTTTGCTTTTTCTTTGCGTTAAAATGATATGCACAGTATTCGCGAATATTATTAAGCGATTGGTGCTGTCACAACTTGACCAACGAAAGGGACTTTAGCAGATTTTCCCTATATTTTCTGTAGTCTAGTCTAACCGCAGCCACCAACTATAAAGGATTTTATTCTGTCAAATCGTATGTGTGACAATAATTATTATCATAATTATTATTATTATCATTATTATTGTTAGTATTACTATTGCTGTCAGGGAAATAAATTCTAAGACCAAAGTCTTAAAACATTTGTATATTTAATATTATCGTCTTATAACAATTTTTATTACCAGGCAATTCAATAAAAAAATATTTGTTTGCAAAGCAAACTCATTAACATTTTCTTTTATTTGTTCAACTAGACAACAATCGTAGACATCTTTTTAATCTTTCGTACGCCTTTCAAGCGAAACTACCGAACAGAAATTCAGTCTTTTTTATAAATGATTCCAGCAAAAAGCGTATGACTGCTTTCTGTACAAATAAAGTTTGCGCAACGACTAGCTAGTAAAAACGATCGATTTTACATAAATTGTGTTATCCGCATGAGGAGCCGAGAATGCAAAGAATCGCAATTAACGATGGTCGCGGGCTCAAATCTCAAGTGCGCTAGAGCTTTTGTTAGAGGCGGGCATTTGACCTAAACTATCCAGCAGTCTTTTAAATCCGTACTTTACTATTTGCAAAGTGTATGGACAAAACATAAATATATTATATCATATGTATAATTGTACTCTTCTAATGCGACTGCCATGTAAATATTTTGGGCGTTGAGTTTGCAACCAAGTTAGCTAAATTGTGTCACGTTGCACATTACCAATTATTTCAATTGTTCTGAAACAAATTTCATTAATTGTCGTACGAATGAAGACACACAATTATTGTGGAACGAAAATTCATCTAGGCATAGATCAAAAAATCGTGGCACACTTCAATTCACTAATTAGTTAGATTAGGTTTAGGGTGCATCAAAATCATTCATCAACATTATGACAAAATATGACAAAAATAAACCTTCTATATGCTCATTCCGCGGCGTAAATGATAATTATCTTCTTCATCTTTCAACCTTCACAATTCCCTTTATTGCAAGAAACTATACTCTATCTCTAAAATTCTGCACTTTCTAAGACAATCTAACCTTTGAAACCATATGTAAATTTTTTTAAACTGGAAAGATTTTTATGCTTTTAAACAGTACTTAATTTAAGCAAGTTAACTATTAAAATATATAAACAAAAAATACATTTCAAGTCATTGTTTGCTCTACTAAAGAATTCAGAGTCTAATATTTTATTGCTTCTCAGGAGCTCAAAACAACTACTCAATCATCTCTGTAGATTTATTTTCTTTGGTGTGAAAATTGTCAACACAATCGGGGCTATTTTACAGCGACATACGATCATCCATCGATATATAAATTGCTTATTAATTATCGCAACAACAAAAGTAGTTTAATCCGAGCACTACGTTCCATACACTGCGTTATCTGCTTTATGGGATTTACGATCAATATATATGAGTGTACAATGTTCTTCACTCATGGGCACAAAAAAGTTCTTATTGTTAGCACATTCTTCAGTCGATAAATATTATATTGCAGAAAACACCTACGAACAAATAATTTGATGATGTGTCTATAAAAATAATTGCAAACAAAGCTGTAAAATTGCAAAAGGAACTGTTTGAAGAGATTTTTATTGTTATGTCACCTTTATTGCTAAGAAAATATAGTAAAATCTTTGCATTATGTGTAATCTGTCTGTCTGCGCTGCTGCAATCAAAGTCAACAACAACAAGTTCAACATCAACACCGTTATCCTGCAACGTGATTACACGTACAAAACTTTAGACGTTATCACGATTCTTTGTATTTCCAAACAGTCTGTACATAGTTTCGTATTTGAATAACAAAAATGTGCAATTTTTGAATGAATTGCTCTTCAGAAAAATATAAAAATAATAATAAAAGGAAGAAACCTATTGCCGATGGCTTTGTTTATTTACCTTGCTGACTGCCTGCTATGTTTCTAGTGTTTAGTTTACGCTTGAGTAAAACACCAATTCTGTTTTCATTTATTTACACTAAAGAATAAAAAAATTTTAAATAAAAAAACAAAACGAATCGCAAGTACACAAACAAACACTTTTACCTGCTATAGGAGTCACTGCAGACTCTTTTTACATAAATAAGAGTCCACAAGATTGAAACTACATTGTTTGAAAAGTCTGAAGACTGTCTTATTTTCAGCTAATGTTTACATTATCCCTTATTAGTACATCTGGATACGTAAGACGTAATATATATCATTAATTGATTTCTCGTATGCATAGCCTTCTGACTTCTCTATCCGCAGGTAATACATTATGAACTTGTTTGAAATTATAATCGTTGTAAGTGAGAAGGATGTGGGAACAATGTAATAATTTAAATTAGTCCGACTAACAAGAAGCGTACCTTATCTTTCCCAAAAAACAGAAGACCAGTGAATACGAAAAAGGGTGGTTAGTCGTGCCCTGCCCCTCTCAAAAATCAAGAATTCGACAAGGGGAAAGTACAAAAAACAAGAATTATGTGAAAGATTGTTACGCACTTAAGACTTCAATATCGAGTTGCAAAACAACCGTGTGCTTGACGCAAAGAAATACAGTCGGTCTTCAATGTATCGTCTTGAGGGGAAAGGGCTACACATGTAGGATGAGTTGAACGTCCCTGGCCTCCGTGCTACGTCGTTTTCGCATAAACGATAAGCTACATAAAATTTCAATATAAAACCTTGTGTCTTTCTAGAACGTTCTGTGATCCCCAGTATTGCATGGTTAATTACTTTGGGCGCTTCGACACTGACTTCTGGAATTCTGTTGTTACAAATTAGAAAGAGTTGTCGAGATTACAAAGTAGTATTGGAAAATTTTTGTTTTGCTGTAGTTTGCAGACAACGGTATGTTTCCGTATATGTTTCTTCATTTCTTTAAGTTCTTGCAAATGCATGGTTGGAATGGAATCTTCTTCACACTCTCTATTAACAGACGCTTCATCATTTGGCATCATTTTTTCACGCTTTCTGTGATTAATTTTTCAACTTCTAAAATATTTAGTATTCCCGACGTTTATATATCCTTTTATTCATAAGTAGATGAAAGATGATGCTTTTTCAACCCCAGCTTGGAAAATGGTAGCAGAAATCGCTATTTTATAACTATGTGGTTAATTAAAAAATAATTCCTCGAGACTTTTCACCACAGTATTTACAGTACGTGGTAACATTTTCTTACCTTTTTCGCGTTTATATTTCCCCGCGTAGTTTAACGAAAATTGTCTCATGCTTTGCACACATTTTCCTTCGCAATTGCCGTTCATTTAAATTTTGCGCTTCATTTTGCAAATTTGTAATTTTCTCAAAGCAAAAAAAGGCATTCAGAAAATACGCAAAATAAAAGTGTAAAAAAAATATTCTTGTACGCCAAACAAACAAGTAAGAAAGCTTTTTTTAGATATCTAACGCTACTGGTTTCGCATTCTATTCCACTTCATTGCTTCCAATGTCTGTAATGTTTCTCAGTTCGGTTCTCTATTTCATGGCCAAGATCGGACGTTATTGACAAAACAATTTATCATATTTTCCTGCCTTCCAGCTTCAACCCAATACAGCCTGGTTTCTAGCACAGTATTTTGAATTGATTCCCTCCAAAAGCAATTGCAAGGGATGAAGATCAAATATAGCAAGGCATAAATATATTCCCATGTCCTGGAATATTACAGGCAGGATATGGTTTAAATAGTGTGGCATTTGTACCTTTTTATATTTATCTTATATTTATTAATCACAACAAACAAGGCTAGTGCATTCAGCAATCCATACGTCCCACCTAAGCCAAAAGATTAATAAAACGGTTTAGAGAAAAAACTATGGAAAGTTTAATGTTTGTGTGTCGAGCGGTTCGTGCTCTAAGTATATTTGAATAAGCTGGAACCTGTAGCCTGAAACATGCACGCCAGATCGGTAAGTGTACGCGTTTAACCAGGGCAACTTCAGGTTAGTTGCAGCCGCAATGTAATCAGCCTACAGCATAATAGATGGAGAGATTGGGATTAGGAGAATAGAGGGAGAAAAACCACTAACGTAGAAGGGACAAAAAGGCCCTAATGTGGATTTATTATTAATCTTAATATTGATATTATTGTTACTGCTGTTATTATTGTCATTGCGGTTGATGCTAGTATTCCTGTCGTTTTTGCTATTACCGCTCTTGTTGTTTTTGTTATTACTATAGATGCTGTTATTATTGATGTAATGACTATCGTTATTTTCTTATTTATTGACGATGTTATTATTTTCGTGGTTTTAGGCACCATGATGCGTACGTGAGCGTGCACTTCATTTCTGTCTGAGCTCGTTGCTATATTACTGTAAATCAGGTGTATATACATACCTAATCCGAATAAAAATAAGTCGATCCTATCGATCCTATGTACAATTAAGAAAAAAAGTTTGCAATTTTCATATATACCCATCCTGGCTGGTATGCAATCTTCGCTCCCGGGCACAGATATTTATGAGCTGGTTCTTTGCTTTTTTAATAGTAGATAAACTTAGTCTGCCATTTTAATTACTAAAGTTAGACAACGAGAGTTTTTCTTTTCTTTTTTATATGTTCTCAGCAAAGAAAATATTTGTTAAGAATCACGAGACGGTTACATTTATAGATGCATGCGTTTGCGTGCATTTAGTGTGTAAAAACAACAAAAATCATAAAAATAATGCCTTTTTTAAAATTAAAAGTAAATTTACTTATAACGAAACGTTTACCAAAGCAGTAAAACGTTTATCCTGCAATTTTTTTATGTAATTCGAATATCTGAACTTTTTTTATCTAGCAATTTTCTTAACATTAAGCAGACGGTGGCCCAAACAATTGTTTTTTTCTATTCTATTCTACTGCTATCTCTCTCTCTCTCTCTCTCTCTCTCTCTCTCTCTCTCTCTCTCTCTTTCGCTCTCTTTCTCTCTCTCTCGCTGTCTTTCTTTCTTTCTTTCTTTCTTTTCCAACTTTCGTTCTTGTTTTTTATTCCTTTCACTAAAAAACTTTATACATTTTTTACTATATGTAAAACACACAGGCACATACGCTTCAAAAGGACTTGTTGGTAAACCTTTGAAAAAGTTTCACAGAAAAGAGAGAATGCGAAGTGCAAAATCGCAGAGTAAAAGAAAAAACAAAAACTATTAATTTGCATGATTATCGTTTTAAGCATAAATTCATTTAAGTAAAATTGTCGTTTACCTTAAAAACAGCAATAACAAGAACAACAATGACAATAACGAAAACATCAAGCACACAAAAACTCGTAATAATAGATGGCGAGAGTGAGAAAGAAGAGAGAGAAAGAAAGTCATCTTATTTTAATAAGAGTTAAAATGTTGCCACCTTTTCTGCTTTCTCCTTAACTTGCTACTTACGTTAGCATGGCTGCTGCTACCTTCCACTGATAATGACGATGATAATATTTTGTCGTATAACTTTTCTATCGTTGCTTGTAACGGGTGCCGTTTAAGTAAACAAACTTTTAAATTCCATTAAGAGCAATAAATTTTGTAACTGATACTGAAAAACGAGGCGATACAAAGTTAAGACGGTAAAGCATACCTTTGGTGAAATGTAGAAAAAATAGAAAAAGTCATCAAAAAACCAGCAACATGAAAACAAAAAACAAGATATGCTAGCAAACATTATTCTTCTTACACTACCGAAAACCAAGAAGTTGGGCAGTGAGAGAGGGGAAGCAGGAGCGAGAGTAAGGTTCACCAAGCCAAATATATTTTGAACGCTACGCCTTTGGTGTGTTTTTCTCAAATTGCCATACATTACCGAAAGTTTTCAGACAATATCTTCTTCACTCGCTTACTTTCTGCTTAAGTCTTTACGTTTTATAATTCTTTTTTTTTTGTTCAACCAAACAACCGCGCCAAACGAAATCCATTAGCTATCATTGCTTTTTCCTTTAAGACTGACAATTAAATTTTCTTAATGCCAATTAATGCACCTCTTTGCTTTCAATTTAATACGACAATCATAGCATACAACCAGGCAAGGCATAATACGTCAAGCGAATGTTCAAAGTTTTACTTTATTCGGTTTCTTTTCTTTTCGATTTCGGAATATCTGGAAACGTTTTTTTTTTTTTAAATATCTACGAAAACCGTGAAATGTCCAAACAAGTTTTGGCAAAGGAGGAAGCTATCAATCATTTATATTCCACCATTAAAACAAAATTCGAAGAAGACGGTGTTTTGCAAGAAGTACGCTGTTTGTTGCAAGCTAAAATGGTATCCATGATGCGTGGTAAAAGTGAAGGTACACTGGTGAAGAGGCCAGCTGGCAAAGGTCTGGCACAGGATTCACGCATCGCTCTCTTGAATCAATTGCTTATGGAATATTTTCATTGGCACAATTATCAGTATTCAGCCGAAATGTTCGGATTAGAAAGCGGCGCCGAAAACACTAAACCGATGCGTGAATGCTTGGAAGGCGTACTGGGTAGCTTTCAGCATAAAAATGTGCCTATCCTTTTAGAAGTGGTAACGGAATTAATGCAGAAACAAAACAAAAAAAAATAATTTTTTTCTTTGAAAATGTCATTAAATTGTTAAATAAAATTCTTTAGATCCAATTCTGTTAATATGTCATGGTCGTCCTTCCTTCAATGAATTAACTGCAATTTATTGTCACGCATGTACATTGATATGCATGTTGCTTAACAAAAGTAAATGCGTTTAGCAATTTCCTGTACACAAAATTAATCATGTGATTGAAAACCTGTGTAGCTAACTCTACTTGCGTACATATATTCGGTGAAGTTTGTATGCGTTTAATCATTTTCATCAAGCCGCTGGTCGGCCGACCGAACGACCGGCTATTACGGGCATATTAGTCATATTATTAAGTCAAAATGCGTTGCTGTAATTAAATACGGGGCATACACAATATACGCTTATTGAGGATTCAGTGTTACACAACTCACACTAATTTAATCGACGCCCTTTACCAAAAATAATGCACGAGACAGGGGGATAAATAAAGAAGGATAGAGACAGCAATAGAGAGAGAGAGAGAGAGATAGAGAGAGAGATAGAAACATACATTAGAATAGAAATCCTAACTTCCACATCTATTTTCACCGTTATCTCTGTATGAGTGTCATCTGTCTAGATACACGAATCTGTATACACACACACACACATATACACACAACAGAGTTACATAAATATATTTATGTATATGTATATATGTATATATATATACATCCATGTTTATACATATATATGAATTGTATGCACATCCGGTTTCCGTTTATAACTCCGGTATTGATTTCAATCATAATTGCATTTCTCCCTAATTGCTTCGACGAAACCTGACTTGAATTGCTAATGATCTCGGGGGTGTAGTTATTATATCATTACACTATGTATACATAACCTCAATTTGTTACATATACAGTAACACAGGCTGCTGAGAGACCAAGAAGCGAACGTGAGAAAGATGTGATATTAATTCATTTGTGTGAACACAGAGCAGACACGGGGCCACAGGTGTTTTATGTGTATGTGGTAATTATTTGTACGATTGGATGCAATGATAAATTGGTAAGAAAATAACATCAGGATAATGACCAATACATTGCAAGTTTATGTACATAAAGCAACTGAATTATAAGCTTAAGATTTAAGCATTACAACTAAGTCGAGTGCAAAGTAATAATTATCTCAATTTTATTTAAAATTATCACCTAAGCGAATGGTACGGCAAGAAAACTTGTTTAATCGGACAAAAGTTAATTACATGCGTACGTAGCTATTTCAATAATTTAAACAATCATAAAATTTGCATTAAGATATTTTACTTATCTAGAAGAAAAAATTAGTTTTGGAAAGTACAAAACATGGCTTGCTGTCAGGGTTAAAGCAGCGTTTTTGCATATGTTTTGCCGCTGCGTTACATTTAGCAAACCAAACTAAGTACACCAAATTAACATTGCAACGAGTGTCTAGTAAGAAGTGGCACGATTATAATATTAGGTGCTTGTACGTATTCTGACCATTTTTTCACCTGAAAAGGGCATTTATTGAAAAAAAATGTTACAATGTTCTGCAGCTTTTTCTCACCTTTATGGCAACATAGCGATATTGTGTCGAAAGAACGATATTGGTTTGACTTGGTAGTTGCGATTCGCGGACTCACGTCTCAAACAGGGTAGAGTTTTCTGTGGTCGCAGCTGTAGTGAACACTCAGTCAGTAAAGGTATAACACTAATCGGTTTGGCACACACCCACTAGGCTGTGGAACGGATGCTCATATTTAAAAAAAAAAAATTCCCTTTCGATGTCTATGTGGACTCTCCCGGACTAACCTATGCCTTTTTTATTCGGATTGTCGCAATAGAACAAGCTTTCTTCACCAGCGACAATACGCCGCAGGAAACTCTTTTCTCAATCAGTTTATATCGTAGCCGTTTCCTCTCTTTTTGAATCTTTTCCATCGCATGTAAACGTCGAGAAATTTTCGAATCATTCACTGCTAAGATTTTCGAAAGTTCTTAGAAAGGTTGCGCGGGGTTTCCATTCAATTAGTTAAATATATAGATTTGACACACCCACACCCTTCGCATACGATATGTCTACAAAGTAAAATTCAGTCCGTACTTTATCCATTAAACATTAAGCAGCTTTTCCAACCTACGTAGCGATTAAAGTTTAAAACTTTTAGCAGTGTTTTGCTAACTTAGCTTTAGTCAGTAATCAATCTTTTTCAACATTTTCCGTTGATTTCTTTATTCTTAATAATAATGTCGCACGTAGCCGAAAAACGTTAACGCAAAATTAATTATTCGTTCAGCTGCGGATAGTTATTGTTACTGTATAAGTAAACAAGGTATATTAATTTTTAGCACTTAAGCCTTGCTATTTTCTTCGTGTTTTAATAGCTGCTGGACGTTTTGCAAATGTGCAGAGTTAACAAGCAGAAAATCAGCTTAACGAATTACTACTACAGAACACGTTGCATGTATCTATACATATGTACATATATATTTGTATACAAAACTCGACTTAATTGAAATATTTGTAAAGGAATTCATTTATTCCCCTTAATAGCTCATAGAGAAACTAACCAGACAAACTGGAGAATCTTACTAATTTATAGTTTACTTGGTGTCAAATAAATATCGCTTTCATATGAAATGATTAAAATATTCATTTTTGCCATGTCTAGCATCGAGTTTCATTAAAACTCTACCGGTAAATAGGTATGTATTTAGATTTTATAGACGACAGTTTTAACTGACATACGCGCCGTTAAATTGTAGAGAAAAAAGGAAAGAATAAACGCTCAAAATCAACAAGAATCTGCTTCTAATCATTACGAATATGTATTATTGTACGTATCGTATTAAGCAGCCTGATGCTGAGGGTGTTGGCAATCGGTTTTCCGTACGGGTTGAATACGAAATCATTTAAATTAAATAAAATGCTATGGGTTTTGGCTGATATCACAAATGTTTGCTGGGACCTTAAAAACGAATTTTAATGATGCTCATAATCTACTTAAACTAAACTCTCAACTAACAACAACAACGTAATCATTCCTCTCAAAGGACATTTGCCTACTCTGCGTAGTGATGCCCAATCGTACAAAATGTACAAAATTACATTACAACTATTTTCATACTTTTCTCCTTTTCCCCTTCACCACTATTGACAAAATTGACAAAATGAATTGAGCTTAAATGTTGTGCATTGTTTTTCTCTTTGCCTAATAAACTAAAAAAATAAAAAAAAAGAAGAAAGTTCGCTGCAATTTTAACGTTTCTATACTGTGGTACATAAACGTTGTGTTTATAGGCTGTGAACGCTTGTTTTGCACAACGCTCTCGTCAATATAGATTGCGCTTAAAAGTATGCTAAAATCGTTTTAAACAAGCAAAAGCAACGCAAACTATGCCATTAAAACGTACAAAATTCTGCTAATAAACGCGATACGAAACGTTAGGTAATAAGTTCATGGGAACGGTGATTAATTTTAAAGATCTTACTATACTTTTCTTGTATTTAATGATTTGTACACAAAGTTAAAGCAATTTAGAAAACTTTTCTAATTCCACTAAGGTCTATTGTTTTTTTCTGTTGTTCGTTTAAACGACTTTTAAACAATTGTTTAATAAAATCCTAAACCTCTGCGAAAACAAGAGAGGCAGCTTTTGAAAATCTTACAAGGCCAGGCAACTTTTCTTAGGTTAGTCGTTTTATGAAGAACTTGACATGTTCTTGATAAATTGCATAAATTAACATTTGAACTTTTCCTTGTCATCGTTATCGTTATCTATTCACATAAACCGATGTATACGTATGTACATTCACGGGTAAATATATATATTATATGTACATCGTGGAAAATTGTTTGAAAACTTTAACTTGGCTTTGACGTCGTTCATGTGTTAATAATCACTAATACATACACGCTTGTATACATGGCTTTGCAATGGTGTTAATAACGATAATGATGATGAAAGTGTATTGCGTTCTCTTACTTCTGTACTTCTGTGATATGTATTCTAATTTTAATTAGTTGCTTTAAACGATGTTTTAGGTGACGATGTAATAATATTGTTAATGTACATACGTACGACAAGACTTCGATGAGTGTGTGAACGACTGGTTGTTTCTATGTCAATGTGTGAGTGAGTAAATATTATTATCTTTCATTAAGAAGATTTATTAATAGTCTCGGAATGAATTCTCTTACAACCTTACGCAAAAAATTAGGGGAGTTCTAACTTCAAAGTATGCTTCTTTTCAACATATCCTTAAATTGTTGTCATTGACATCTGATCAAACAAAGCCCATCTAAGCGAGTTGTGTGATTTAGAAAGCAACCAACGAATGTTCTTCCTTCTCTTGTTGACTTAGAACAATGGTTTGGTTGAAATGGTTTTCTAAGAGCAATAAAAACAAAATAAATAATAATAATAAATAAAAATGAATTCTATATTTTGAATGTACTGCCCTATGATTACACCTAAACGTCCTCCGCTGCGGTGCAATAGCTTATTTCCACTCAAAGGAAAAGGTTTAAGTTAATGTTTGAAAATACTAAATTACGTTCAAGGGGTCTTAATTATATTGAAAAATATTGTGCATTTTGTAAGAGGTTGTAAAATTTATTTTTTTTTTTGTGGAGATGGAGAAATGCAAGTAACAAGTCATTTGTTTGTATTTGGCCGAATGAGTGGTTTCCTGGTGTAAGGAAATTGTTTAATAAATTATCAGAATTATATTGCGCTGTTACAAGGTTGAACATTGAAGGTTCAAAGTTTATTTGTTCCTTTCTATTAACTTTTTTCCCGTTAAAGTTATTTATTTAAAGCAATGTATATAAATTTACTGCATAGAACGATGGCACCGTTTGCTTAGCATATCGCATAAGATTAAATATAAGCGGAAATGTCAGCGATGAACTATTATACCCAGACAAATATCATAATTCTGGGCAACCGTGATAATAAAATCACATTACATCAGCTCTCGGATAAGTCAAACTGCTTCCGCCTGTGGATGTGCTAGGT